CGGCTACCTTACGCCTATTGATTAACTTGAAAACCTGCACTACCTCTATTTCGTCGGTTGCATTTGAGGCGTTTATGGTTTGTCTTCTCTAAATAAGTTTTTTCGTCTTTTGAGATATTTTGCCCATTTCCTGCTTAGTTACTGTAGCTTCGACTTCCATTGCGCACTCTTTTATGATCCTAGTAAGACTATTGTTCTTTGTACCATTTTGGTTATCTCGTTTAGTGCCTCGAACGTATTCTAGAGCGAAACTCTGAATACCTGTACTTTTGCTTCCAGCGCTAAATCATTAATTGGCTTCTTGCGTACAAGTATTTGTGTTTATTTCTCGAAATCTAGGTGAATCCGAGCTCTTACCATTCTATGATCCCTGAATTGGATCTTGCCAACTGCTTCTTCACCATGTACAATGCCTTGGTTTGCGCACAGAATGAAGGTTACTTCATTTTTAGTTTTGTCATTAGAACTTTGCCACGTCCATTTACAGTTAGCTCTTTTTCTGAGGAAAGATTTCGAGATCAATAGGTGATTACGTTCTGCGAACTTTACTAGTAGCTCTCCTCGGGTATTTCTACAGCCAATGCCATATAATATTCCCCCACTGCCTGGTCTCCGGCCTGTTGCGCGCCAGCTTTGGCATTATAGTCACTCCTCAGAACAGTATACTGTGACTTTACTCTATTAATGGTTGACTCTACGCCTTCATAAAATTGTTCAACTGAATGATTGCCATGGCTCAATGTAGGCGCGTAGGCCTCTACCACCTTCGTCTCGTACCGTTTGTAAACATCATTATAACACTTACCACCCTCTCATTGATGTCAAGTATTGCTCTATGTTGCCAGCGATATTTTTGTATATAAACAACCTCACCCTTAGCTCTCTTCTTCTTCAATTAATCTCTGGTAGCATAGGACGTGTTTGTTCTTCTGCACTGTATAAGCCCCACGTGTCCTCCTAAAGTCACTCAGTCCTATTATATCTTACTGAACACCCTCTAATTCATCAAACAGGACAGCTAGACTAGCCTCACTAGATGGCGTTCTAGTCTTGAAGATAGCCAAGCTCAGATTACAATGGCGGCCTGTAAGCAACCAGAGACTCTCAGCAACCTCCACTGCGTCGCAGGTCTGACCGATTCCTTGAACAGTTGGTTCGCAGACGCTAGAGACTGAGGGCTAAGGGTTAATTGCTCTATTTATGGGAGGTTGTGGCCAGGTACTGCACAAGGTAGCCAATCCTGCTCTGGTGAGTGAGTACATTACTGGCAGGTGGTCACCAGTGAGGCCACACCCCAGACCTGTTTTTTTCTTTAAACCGTTTCCTTATCAGGTGGTTTATTTAGGTGTACGATTCGGAATGGTCCGACATGTGCATTCGAACCGAATTTCGTCACTACATGCTAGGCTGCTGCACTATCTCTAAGACGGGGCTCTGTTGAGCTTTTTAACACTGTAGAACACCACTTAGTAATACTCTGCAAATGACTTGCTCTGCTTGGCAATGAAGTGAAAGTGACACATATGCTTTACAATCACACGCGTCCTGTATACATGCTTTACAATATAACATAAAATAATGCAGTAATATTGCGTGATACAAGCACCCATAGTAATCGGGCGTTGCAACAAGGGATTATCATAAAGACTTCATGGTTTAAAGCCAGTAACCCACTACGAAAGGCAGACACGCTGCTGTGCCTGTACAAACTACGCACAGAAGATCGCTATTGGGCTCAACTCCTGAAGACGAACCCTTCATGCTGCTCAAATTTAGGAAATTTGAGGATCTTGCCTTGTTCAACGTTCTCTTGACGATGCTTCATGACTCAAGACTTTTAGCTTAATAAGCTTTGCAGAGTTTTGTCATGGTGGGCGCAAATGAACGTCCAAAAATTAATAACTTTTTGCGAACTCAGCTACCCTAATAGCGTTTATTTGCTATCCTAACTCCCTTCGTCACTCAAAATCTTTGCACACACTTTTGATCGTGGCACCGTTCAAGGCAGTTAGGATGTCTATACTCGACGACAACTTTCTGTGGCAATGAAGAGAAGGCTACGGAGTCAAAGTGAGCATGTGCCATTGCCTTGGATTATAGTTCCACAAATGCGCCGTGTTTTCCGCGATAAAATAATAAAAAACAACAACATTAATTTCCAGTGGATGCTCTTTATAAAAAGATGCTGCATGAACCGAACAGATATTCATATCTGTTGTTGTTTTTCGAAGAGTCGAAGAGTCGCTTCGCGCTTTTGCGCGTCTAAAAACGTCACACGTTTTACGTGTACCTCACGGTCATAATGACGCCTTCATATTCAGGTAAGCACGCGTCACCCTCCAGCTATTCTGATGACTCACCGAAAAATCTTGGTTGGAATTTCAGTCACGATTAGCTGTGTAAGCAGATGTATTAAATCGTGTGCAGTGGGATTGCTGGAAGACGACCATCATTTGAAACGCGAGGGGAACCGGATTTCTTCGCGAAGGCGTACAGGCACAGTAGCTCCACCCCTTAGCTCTGCCTTTAGAGCCACAGAAAGTTGTCCCCGAATATAGAACTTGTCGGTCACTATGAATTAGGTTTCGTTGGTGTTACTACATCCAACATCATGTCATGAGGTAGTTATTAGCACAGACGTTGCCAAAAACTTCAAATCGGGAACAAAAAGTGCTGTTGCCATAATCGTTACCCCATTGATGGTGAATAGCAATGGTTGCACCGATGCTTCTTGGCGAAATTCTAGGTTCCCGACATATGAAATGAGCGATGCTTCAATAATCGGTATAATTTCTTTCGTACTAGTCTACGAGTTCAAAACGTTGTTCGAATTTCAGTTTCCGTTTATTGACTTTCATCTTACAAAAGTACACAGGAGGTCCCAGAGCACTCGGCTGAAGGGGAACCTCGTGTCCAAAAATATTTGAATTGTACCAGTACAATGTGTAAATTTTTGACAACAGGAACGAGTGCTTATGAAAATTTGATAAAACTACAAATAGCTAAATTTAACTGCAAGAAACATTATTCAGTGCGAGAATGCTTTTAATAAAAATATTTTTTGCTGTTTAAAGGAGCCAAATGTATGGAGCTCTATGAATTATTCACCGGGGACGCCAGTTTTTGTTGGCACAAGAATTTCGGTCTTAAGATATTCAACAATGAGTGGCCAGCCGGTTACGCACATTCGCTGCGCTAAGAACAAACTTCTACCGTTCCGATCGAAATCACGTTAAATCATTTCTTACAAAAAAAGAAAATGATACCCGTGCCTCATCACATCGTGGTATAGTTGATATACCGCAAAATGATTTCACCACTAAGATGAAACCACAGAAGTAGAACTAAAGAACCCCAGTTGGTCAAACTTTAGGAGTCCTCTACTACGGCGTCTCTCTTATCTATATGGTGGTCTTGAAACGTTAAACCCCACATATCAATCAATCATTACAGAAGTAGAACGTATCTCAAAAGCGTAACACTAGTACTAAAAGGTATTTTTAGGGTAATTTGGTGATACTGCCGTTTTCGGGTGCCTAGAGCACGTGATGAGTACCAAGCGTGTCAGCTGCAACTCATAGTCGCAAATACGAAATAAAAATTTACAGCACGGTGCTGCTCTGTCATGGCTTCTCTTTTACTTCTGAAGTTTAGCCCCACCTCGTTATGCTTTTATATTGAACCCAAGCAGGCACTGTGGTTTTATTATCGAACGACACATTGATATGCGATGCCAATTTGCTTGGTACCTAATCTTCTTCGTAATGCCTTAGTCTGCTCTCAGTACTGGCATTCTGTGGCCGTGCACGTCGGTGTCGAACTGCTTTCGCTCATAAAATATTAGAAAATATTACGAGAATCTTTGTTTTTGACATAGTTCTGAAGTATATATAAGCAAAACGTTATATACAAAGTAAAAAAGGACATTCCAGAGTGAATACAACTGGAAAAATGATAATTCATGATTGCTCATTTTTGTTTCTGTAAACGTAACACACGAAGCTAAGAAATCGACATGTTTCATTTACGCTAGATGACCAACGGAAGATAGATTGCCAGCGTTATATATTGCTTACTTAGTGTTTACGCCATCTGAAGAAATAGGTCAGCATTAGCTGGTGCCGCGTTCTAATATGCATGAAAGTTGTGACAACTTCTGTTATAAACCTATTTAATACTCCTTCTCCTTATAGGCCCAGCCTCAAACAAATGTGCGAAAATTACAGCGTATTCACGGGCTGCATTATGATGAGTGCGGCGAAGTGGTCGCCTGCCTGCCTGCCTTCCTAGCCTGCCTGCCTTCCTAGCCTACCTGATCTGGTCTGGTCTGGTCTGGTCTGGTCTGGTCTGGTCTGGTCTGGTCTGTCTGTCTGTCTGTCTGTCTGTCTGTCTGTCTGTCTGTCTGTCTGTCTGTCTGTCTGTCTGTCTGTCTGTCTAATACGCTGGGCTGGCAATGCCGGCAGAAGAATGCTGCATTGCCTCACACCATACAGAGCTTCTTTCGTAGAAGAAGAAATACCAAATGTTTAAAGATATTGGTTAAATATAACTTATGTTTTCCGTATCGGTTTAGTGGTATGTTGCTCGTCCCATGTTGGTCTATAGCTGTCCCATATTGGTACACTAGAAGTACTAAAGTGCAGTGTGTGATTGACCGTGTATTAGGGCTGCCCTGGTTGTTGAAACCCTTGAAGTCCACCCATTCCTTCGTATCTTGCATCAGGAGCCTTTCTTCGTGATGAAAATGATTAAACCGAAGCTAACTGAAGTTCGCCATAAGATTATCACGCTTACAGGAGCGTTGTTTGAAGCTGTACTACGTACAATTTTCGCACCCGTTCAGATGCTCCAATGGCACATTGTTCTCGTATGAATGCTCGCAAATAATGCAAACAAAAATTGATGCAAATGAACAGGTTTTACATTGTGTAGGTATTCTATTGTGAAATGAATTTAGTTTCTGCATTTGAAAATATATATGGAGAACTGGAAATCATGCTATATCTCCTGGTATAACTGCGGAAGAGTAGGACACTTGCTTTCAAACGAGTGACATGAAAAAGCTGAATATTTCGGCAACCTTGGCTATTGCAGTTATAACCATTATTATAAAGTGCAATGGAAAACGTTTCTTTCCTGCAAATGTTTTTAGCGTGCCGAATATCAGAAAGGTAAGCTGTGTTTTTTTATACCTGTCGATACACCTCTCTTTGCATCACACTGTCCAGGGCTAGCTCAACATGTAGGGTAAAGGATGCAACTCTTTGAGAATGCGTCAAAGATTTATTCATAAATTTAGCAGCTGTTTAGTTTTCCGCGATTTTTATGGTTTGATTCCTTCTGGGACCATATTTATTCTAAGCATCCGTTGCGTCAATGCTACCGATGGCAGAATTTAGCGGCGAAGCTTCTTAGGGCCAACCTAGTTAGCGCCCATCACACCCCACAGAATACGACCAGAAGCTGAACAATTTACATAAAAAAAACAAAAAAACGTAAGTGTAAACAACCCACTTGTGTGTAATCAACTATACGACACCACAATACATGACCACTCGTACTGTCCACCTTTCTGCCTGTTCATAGGTCTGTCCGTCCATTCATCCATATCTGCGTCCGCCTATCTGTTCTTCCGTCCATTCTTTTCTCCTACTTTCCGAGCATACGTCTACTTGTCCGTCTGTCCGTCCATCTGTTCATCCGTCTGTCCGTCCGTCAGTCCGTCCATCAGTCCGTAAATATGTCTGTCCGATGATCACACTAGTGGGCGAGTTCAACATAAACATTATGGGCTTTGGGACATAGATGCCCACTCGTCGTCATACACTTCGGGACGATGCATTTATTTTTCTTAACGCTCTCAAATTGAAATCACCAATGTCTATTCATGCCGTTTCTTGATTGAAGTAAACTCGCAATCACTTTCAGTGCATTTAACTTAACTACAACTGATTTTAACTCAACGTGAGAGCTGTATCATAGGGGTACTTATGTTTCAAAACAATGGAATAGCCATCAATTCATCTTCAATGACGCTTCACGAAGATTGCGATCTATTTGAAAAGAAGCTGCGACACTTGGCGTGGCTCAGTGGTAGCGTACCTGCTTGCCGCTCAGAATGCTGGGGATAGAATCCTTGTGGGACCCCGACATTTGTTCTTTACATAAGTCGAGTCAACGCAGCCGGTGTCAGCTGCTCCTCAACGCTGACGTGTTTGAATTACCCATGCATGCTCTCGCCATTCCCAAGTAAATGAGAACTATCAATCTCATGTGACACATAACCGCCCGCGAGTATGTGCCTCTGTCTGGCGGGAAGTATGTGCCACAAGTTCGACGGCCTACATGACCGGTTTTTGGTAATATTTATGCTGTGACTGGTTAGTCGTATTCATCAAGCCATCTTACTTTCACATACTAACTTTGGTTTACATCAAGGTAGGGGGGGGTGACCACGAGAGCACCCAGACGTAGGTCGTCAAATAGGTAGATAGACAGATAATAGATAGATAGATAGATAGATAGATAGATAGATAGATAGATAGATAGATAGATAGATAGATAGATAGATAGATAGTGTCACAGTGCAACGCGAATAAAAGATGACAGCAGCTTGAGGCAGTGAAAAGAGCGTATTCAGGATCAGCTGTACAGCAAGACGCCTGCTTCGTTGTCGTCCCGAAAAACCATCTGACCCACTAGCTGGAATCTACGAAACATTCCTATCATCGTTCTTTTTTATATAAACACGTGTAACTCGCTCTTCCTTATAATAGCATCGCCCCGATGCTGATTCAGAGCAACAGTATTTCTTTTAACGTGCAGTCAGTCACTCACATACGGCTTCATACGCACTACATGAACAAGTTCAGGCTGGTGCTGGCGACGCCGCCTCGGGCATTGGGTACTGTCGGAGATGACCTCGTAGGTGACGTCACTTAGCTCGCGCGATTCTCGGTATGGCCCGAAATATCGCCTTAGCAGCTTCTCGGACTGTCCACGTTTTCGTACGGGTGTCCAAACCCACAATCTGTCACCGATTTTGTACGTTACAGTTCTATGGCGAGCATTGTGCCAGCCTGAATCGTAGTCTTGTCGCTAGGTGGATCCGTAAGCGGGCGAGCTGCCTAGCTTCTTCCGCACGTTCAGTTGTTCAGTGAACAATTGAACACCACCTGTGTCAGTAGCGTCCCATTCATGTGGCAACATCGCATCCAGCATAGTCCGTACCTCTCGTTCGTGAACCAAGCTGAATGAAGTCATGCGAGTCGTTTCTTGTTTAGCCGTATTGTATGCGAACGTGATATAGGGTAACATTTTGTCCCAATTTTTATGTTGGACATCCACGTACATCGACAGCAAGTCCTCAATCGTCTTGTAGAGGCGCTCCGTTAGTTCATTCGTTGGCGGGTGGTACGCAGTGGTCTTACGGTGAGTCGTTCCACTTAGCATCAGGACGTGGTTTAAAAGAGCTGCCGGAAATGCTGTTCCACGGTCTGTGATCACGATAGTCGGGACACCGTGGCGTAGCACAATACTTTTCTATAAAAAATCTCGCCACTTCTACTGCGGTGCTCTTTTGGATAGCTTTTGTTTCGGCATACCTAGTTAGGTAGTCTGTTGCGACTATAACCCAGCGATTCCCTGCAGTAGAAGTAGGAAGGGGTCCAAAAATATCCATTCCTATCTGGTCAAACCGTGTACGTGGAACCTGAACTGGTTGCAGCTGACCGGCGGGTCTTTTCGGGGGTGACTTGCGTCACTGGCAATCGAGGCAAGTGTGAATGTGGTGCTTGACGGCTGTTGTGAGTCGTGGCCCGTAGTATCCCTGCTGTACTCTTGCCAATGTGCGAGTGTAGCCTAAATGGCCAGGCGTCGGCTCGTTGTGACGTGCTTGGAGCACTTCAATTCGAAGGGGTGCAGGAATAACGAGCAAATAGGGAGCTCCGACGGATGAAAAGTTTCTTTTGTATGGGACACTATTGCGTGAGCAAAACGATGATAATGTCCTTGCAAAGACTCAAGGTGCCCTCGAAGAACGTCCGTCCACGTAATTAATCAAATCAAGCAATTCAGGGTCACCTCGTTGTTGTTGAGCAATCGTGGACGCGTCGAGAACACCAAGGAAGGCCATATCGTCATCGTCAAAAAGAGAAGCTGACTGTGCTGGTGATCGAGACAGTCAGTCGGCGTCCGTATGGCGCTTCCCAGACTTGTGTATGACCGTCATATCAAACTATTGTAACTTTAGACTCCGCCGCGCTAATCGGCCAGTTGGATCTCTTAAACTAGTTAATCAACAGAGTGAATGATGGTCACTTATAACTTTGAAAAGGCGGCCATACAAATACGGGTGAAATTTCATAACTGCCCAGACCACGGCGAGGCATTCTTTCTCAGTTGTTGAATAATTGGCCTCAGCGCGTGTTAGCGTCCTGTATGCGTAGGTGATCACTCGTTCCGTGTCTTCTTGCCACTGCACAAGCACAGCTCCGAGGCCTACATTGCTTGCGTCAGTGTGCAGCATTGTTGGCGCTTGCTCGTCGAAGTGAGCAAGAACTGGAGGTGTTTGAAGACGTTGGCGGAGGTCATTACACGCTGCTTGCTGTTCGTAGTTCCACTCAAAAGTGGCGTCGTCTCTAGTGAGGCAAGTTAATGGCGACGCAATCCGTGCGAAGTCGGCGATGAACCGGCGATAGTAGGTGCATAGGCCCAGCAAGCGCCTGACAGCTTTCTTATCGGACGGTACTAGGAAGTCTTCCACGGCCACAAGTTTTTTGGAATCAGGTCGAACGCCAGTGCGGCTGACGACATGACCAAGAAACAGCAGTTCTTCAAAGCAAAAGTGGCATTTCCCCGGTTTCAATGTGAGGCCTGTGGAGCGTATGGCTCGTAAAACAACTTCTAGCTTTTTGAGATGCTCGTCAAAAGTTCGGGAAAACACTATGACGTCGTCTAGATAAACTAAACAAGTCTTCCATTTTAACCCTGAAAGTACAGTGTCCATGAGCCTTTGAAAAGTAGCGGGCGCTGAGCACAGACCGAAGGGTAGAACTTTAAATTCATACAAACCATCCGGCGTCACAAAAGCGGTTTTTTCCCGATCTCTTGGGTCTACCTCGATCTGCCAATATCTACTTCTGAGGTCCATTGAAGAAAAGTAGCGAGCATTTGGAAGCCTATCGAGGGAGTCATCAATACGTGGAAGCGGATACACATCTTTCTTAGTCACTTGATTCAGCTTCCTGTAATCCACGCAAAAATGCAGGGTACCGTCCTTTTTTCTTAACTAGTACTACAGGCGATGCCCACGGGCTCTGTGATGGCTGAATCATATCATCTTCAAGCATTTTAGCGACTTGTTGCTGTATCACTTTCCGTTCTTTTGAAGCCACACGATAAAGATTGTGGTGTATAGGCCTTGCTGCGCCGTGGGTAAATATTCGGTGCTTTGTTAGCGGCGTTCGACCGACCCGTGATGTCGATGAAAACAGTCCTGGAATTCAGCTAGCAGCTCAAGAAGTCTTGTTCGTTCGTCCCTTTACAACGTAGTACCAACGTCAAGATTAGGTACTGATTCTTCTTGAGGTGCTTCGTTAAGTACCGATAAAGAGCCTTGGATTTCTGCAAAAGTGTCAAAGTAAGCGACGGCTGTACCCTTCGGGAGATGTCGGCGCTCAGTAATGAAGTTAGTGAGCAGCAAGTTTGTGCGTCCAGCAGTGGCAGTGACTAGACCTCGAGCAACTGAAATACCTTGGCTAAATATCAGCGAGATTATTTAGTCAGCAATACCGTCGCCGTCAAACGGCTCATCCCCAGCCACCAAAACAAGCGTACACGATCGTGGCGGGACGACCACATCGTCATCCGTCAGACGCAAAGGCCCTGAACAAGACGCATGTCTCGGTTCTGAACAATTGACTAAAATAGGGCTGTTGTTGCGAAACGCAATGAAACTGTCAGGGGCGCTGATAACGGCGCCATGTTCTCTCAAGAAATCCATTCCGATAATTAGGTCATTACAGCATGAAGCGACAACGACGAACGTCGCCACGAAAGTAGCGCCACTGATGTCGAGCCTTGCTGTGCACATTCCGACAAGCATCAGTAATTGGCCTCCTGCCGTCCTTAAGTGAGGTCCCGTCCACGCTGTCTTTACTTTCTTGAGGCG